TGTGTGTGTGTGTATGTGTGTGTATGTGTGTGTGTGTATCTGTGTGTGTGTGTTGTGTGTGTGTGTATGTGTGTGTGTAGATGAGTTTGAGAGGGAGTAGGAGAGCACAGAAGGTGAGGTCACACGGGACAGGGAGATTAAAAAATTATGTGAATATAGGATTTATGAAGGAAATTCTAAAAAAAAATAATTTAAAAAGGGACTTTAGCTTCGAACAGTATAGCATTTTGTGTGTGTGTGTGTGTTGTGTGTGTGTGTGTTAGGGAGGGAGTCAGATGCCCCAAGACACACCCGAGGACAAACTTGAAACAGTTGGCTCTCTCCCGCCATGTGGGTCCCAGGGATTCAGTTTGGGTTGTCAGGTCTTGGGTGTCTGGGCACCAGTGTCAGTAAGTGCCTCTACCATGTCATAGGCCTGAGAACAGGTCCTGGTCTACTAGGCTGGTTGGGGAGTGGGGGGAGCTTCTCTACCTTCAGGTCTTTCTTTAGGTTCCTGGATTGAGACACACAAAATCCTTTCTGTGGAAATGGAAGGTTCCAGAAACTTTGATCTGACTCTGACTCTTCCCCTGAGTCCTCCAGGTGGCTGGGAAGGAGAGATAAGTAGTACTGCAGCCGAGTGACTATTGCTTGGGATCCAACTAGCTGTGTGGACAGACAACCTGAAGGAGACTGTGGCTTATGTGGCGATTTTACTTTAAAACCCTCCACAGACTCAAGTTAGACACTTGCTACAAAAGAACAGGATTGTATGGTAATCTTCCCTTCTTCTCTGATCTCTTTTAGGGAAGCGGGTGTGTATGGGAGAGCAGCTGGCAAAGATGGAATTATTCCTGATGTTTGTGAGCCTGATGCAGAGTTTCACCTTCGCTTTACCCAAAGGTTCTGAGAAGCCCATCATGACTGGGAGATTTGGTCTCACACTAGCCCCGCATCCATTTAATGTAACTGTCTCAAAGAGATGAAGATGCCACTGAGGAGAGAGGAGGGGGCAACAGCTAGATGTGCCCTAGGCAGAATTCCATGCTGTTGAGCATGGGCCCAGCAACTCAGCACTGCCAAGAGAGGCTCCAGACGAGAGACCTGGAGGAAAAGGGTGCCACCCGTGGATGCCTCCTGCCCACCGGGAAGCATGGATGCTGGATTTAATCATGTAGATCCCATCAGGAGCAGACCTTGTCTCTCACCCTCCATCATTTCATGGTAAACTGAGGGTAATGAGATTTCTCATGGCCTCTCTGCTATTAAAAAAAAAAAAAATGCTGGGCAATTCAGATTTGTCCTCAGACCTTTCAGGGCCCCTGACAACATGGAAGTGCGTTCAGCATGGACACTTGGTCAGAAAGGGTTGCAGGCCTAGGTTATATTGAAAGAATTTTTTTCTTTTTTTTTTATTTCTTTTGATTTTTAGCATAGGTTCTGTGTCAGTTTCTTTGGGCTTGTCTTATGAGTAAAAGGGTTGCAGGCCTAGGTTATATTGAAAGAATTTTTTTCTTTTTTTTTATTTCTTTTGTTTTTTAGCATAGGTTCTGTGTCAGTTTCTTTGGGCTTGTCTTATGAGTATTTTTGCATTTAGGGCTGGGTTCTTTACTTTCGATAGAGCTAGGATGAAACGTCCCCTTTCCCTGTGTGTTGAGGAAAAAGAAGCATTCTCCTGAGGTCATTGTCTGCCTGTGTCTGCTCTCTGTAACCGAGTGGTCATCAAGCCTGGTGCACAGCCAGGTCTGCTCCGCCCAGCTGTGTGCAGAGGCGCAGCTCTGCCCTGACTTGGGCCCTGGCTGCTGTCCCGAGAAACCTGATAATGGAATTGATCAAAAAGGGATTTCTCATTCAAAGGAGTCCGACCCCTCTTTTCCTGCTGTGTCACCAGCCGTCGTATGACTGACTTGAATATTCTCCAAGACAAGAAGCCATTTCTTGATAAGAGGGCCTCTAGTGGCCCTTCCAGGGGCCACATGGAAATGTGGGAAAGAATTGACCATCATGGAGAAATACTGTGGACCTTCTGCTCCTAGGGCTAAGGCTGAACAGTGTCAAAGCATCCTTCACATCAACCGCGGGAGCCCGGTGTGCCCAAGGCTGGCCCTTCCCACGGTCTCTGAAGACCTGTGGAAGGAGCCGTGCTGATACTCAGCGACCCTATATGGATGTTTTCTTTGTGTGTATATGTAATCCACACACTAGAGGGGCCGAGGCTTTGCAATGTTAAGCCCCACAATTATAAAACGCCATCACTGGGTCTGTGAAACATTTGGCCTTGTGACCGGAAAGCACTTTCTGAGCCTTCTCAGTATTGACCCCACAGGGTACCTGTGTCCTCAGTTACCTGTGTCCCTTTTCATCCCAGTGGACTTCTTGGGGCCAGGCTCCACACTGCTGCCTCTTCCTCACCATGCCTTATTCTTGGTAGATGTCCAGGCCTCTGGGGAGTGAGCTAGGGAAGGCACTTCAG